AAAAAGCGTGGCAACAACACACAGCAGTGTGGAAGCCGCGTCCAGCACCCGCTTACCGTGTAATGCGAGCTGACGCCAAGTTTCAAGGAGTGAAGACGTGGGCGATGGCTTGTNTCTCGTGGGTGGTGAGACCAAATAACTAGCAACCCGGTGGTTGTGAAAAAGCGTGGCAACAACACACAGCAGTGTAGAAGCCGCGTCCAGCACCCGCTTACCGTGTAATGCGAGCTGACGCCAAGTTTCAAGGAGTGAAGACGTGGGCGATGGCTTGTTCCTAGAGATAGATGAAGGTTCTGTCGTTGACACGCTTGTCCACGACCACGTTGAGATGGGAAAGTTGCTTGTTATTGCTGAGAGACGATCAGCAAAGGTCTGGGATGAAGTGGGGATCCAACTTCATCTCAGGGGATACACAGAGTAGACATTTCTAAGGGGATAGGGGTCAGAAGGGTATACCTCCTGACCGACCCGCATCCTATCAAGAATAAGATGTACCCTTTTCATGCTGGCAGCCACACTCCTTAACAATAGCGCGTTGTTAGTGAACTCGATCGACTTCATAATAAGTCGCGAGGGAAGGGATTGCTGTACCCTTCTCGCGATAAAAGTATATCAGGCAGGAACCGCAGGAGGGGGTCCAACCCCCCCCTCCTATGTGACCCCGGTTGGGTCGTCAAGCTGGTAGAAGTGGAGGATAGGGGCCAGAGGGGCAGACGACAGAGTCCGATGATGGGAGAAAAACAAACAAAAAAACACCGCATGCGCATGTTTACTGTTATTTTTCCTCGGCACCCAGGAGTATACAGTTGGTACTATGTCTCCTCCGTGCCCAGCGTCTGTAGACACACACACGCACGGGCCATTGACGAGATGAAAGTCATCGCCTGCATGGGTACATACTACTACTGCTGTGGCGTGGATTGTGCTGGGGACCTGTTTGCTCTCCCTAATTTACCGCATCCCCGCTACCTTCAGAGCGTTCCACTTGGTATGCAGTATATGCCTAACACTTGCTAACAATACACCATGCTTCCACGTTCCTGACTGGGGGCGGGGGGGTGATAGCCCCCCCCCGTCTGGACCTTGTGGGCTGTGCTGCTGCGGCAGCAATCAATCTCTCGCGATCCGCTTGGATACGCATACAAGAGCACGATACAAAGCACTTGCCTGTGTTGAGACCAAGGTGTGCCAGCGGGTGGGGGAGGTATTCGCGTGTTAGGAACTGATGTATGCATCCAATCATTGGATGGAGTGGTTTGCCGCCTGCCTCACGGGGGGTGAAGATCATTAAGATTTGTAGTTCTGTGCTGCGTGGCGTGCGTGGTCCCAATCATGTACGTAGAGCGGGAGCTCCGTGGATGGATTTTGCATTCAGTTCGAAGCAACGCGGTGTGCCGAGTGCGGCGGGACCAAAATGCCCTGTTGCTCGCAACTCGCAACCCCATCGCCCGCACACACATACCGTAGTTGTTTCACACCTTGTGCGTGTTGTCGAGATAGGCAGCGTGGATTCTCCCCTCAGCGATGGCACCCTCCCCGAATGCCTTGGCGACTGCCTGCCTTGCTGTCGTCTTCCTCACTGCGACCCCGCTCTCCTCAGCGTTCACCACTCGCAACACCTTCGCCAACCGGAACATCAACTTGTCACGCAGCAGGCAAGAGGAGAGAAATTGCTGCTGTAAACCCGACTCGTAGACATGGACGGAGGCGGTTGTTGCAATTGAGACAGACTGGAACACTTGGCACTTGCACTATCGCCGTTGTGTCCTTGTATCCTTGAGTCTTGAGCACAAGGGTGTTGGTGCGTAGCGCACTGACTAAGGCGTTCTTGATTTCCTCTGCCTTCAGATTTTGTGTGATTTTCTTGATCGTAACGACCAACAGCGGCGTGTGCCTCACGCGACCACGCGACGACCGAGTGCCGGGATGATTTGGTTCCCAGATCCCAGCTTTCGGGGTATGAGGTAGGCAGCCTTCCCCGCCTCGATGCTGCCACGGGCTAGCTAACTAGGACCTTTAACCAACCCTGCCGTCAACGCATGTCCGCATGTCCGCATAGATCGGTCAAGTTGAACAAAACTGTCGGGGTTTTTTTCTGTCTTCACTTCAAATCAGCGCTCATGGCACAAGTACCGCTTACTCCAACCCGTGGTCAAACAGACCCGGTCACCCCGGTGGTCTAGTGGGTAACCTCGCAGCCTTCCAAGGGCCAGGTCATGGGTTCGAGTCCCGGCAGAATGAGTTTTTTTCTCACTAAATAAATCCTGGTCCAGGATGAAAGCGACGCGTTGCAAAGCTCGTTGTTAGTAAACCATAATCGACTTTGTAAGTCGCGAGGGAAGGGATTGCTGTACCCTTCTCGCGATAAAAATACCACCTCAGGCAGGAACCGCGCAGGAGGGGGTCCAGCCCCCCCCTCCTATGTGACCCCGGTTGGGTCGTCTAGCTAGTAGAAGTGGAGGATAGGGGCCAAAGGGGCAGACGACAGAATCCGATGATGGGAGAAAAACAAACAAAAAAAAACAACAGCAGTAGAGCCCCTCTCTACCCTCCCCTCATGCGGTACTTTGCCTTCGATTTTTAATGCGAGAAGAGTTCAGCACTCTCTTCCCTCTGTGTAAAAACGAACTAGCACTATCAACTAGGCCAGGAGCGGAAGCGAGAGAAAAACGCACTTTGCAAGAAAAGCTCGCTTTCGCCGGGATTCGAACCCCTGACCTGACCTCCAGAAGGTTTCGAAGTTGCCAACTAGGCCACCGGGGCGGCCGGTCCAAAAAGTTGTGCTTCATACACGTACGGAGAATCGAACTCCGGGCGTATCCGTGGGAGGGTTACATGTTACCACTACACCACACGTGTTTGAAAATGGTCGGAGAGGCGACCAATTAAACTTCCATGAGTTGGACGGCACGCACGCGTGCATGGTGTGTTGCCCCACGCACGGCGCTCTGACGTACAACACATACTTCTGGCCCAGAGAACGGGCGTCCAGGGTAGCAGCTGGTCGTTTGTCGGCCCTAGGGTGACATTGCGACGAAATTCGGTCACTAATCGAGGAGTTTCATGCGTGCAACAATGGCCCACGTAGTGATTATCAGCGTGTCAGGGTGTGTGCTGTTTGGCCCCGAAAAAATGTTAGGACAAGTAACCACACACACAGGAACGCTACACGTCCGAGATACACCCAATACCCAGAATGGAACGGAAAAATAAACGTCTTGTATTTATCTTCGCAGCTTGTCTGTCACTACAGCAGTCCGCGTCTTTCCCCTCGTTTGACCTTGGCCTTGCATGTATCATGTCGACGTGCACATTCTCCCCGGTGTCACGGACAGCAGCAAAACTGCAGCCGATGTTCCCAAGATGACGGCGACGGAGGGGCCGGGGGGGCACGAGACACGGGACAGAGAAAGTGATGCCGATTCTTGGCACACTGTCGCTGTTTCCCGCGGCGGGTTCTTTGCCTCCATAGCAACGGCCGCTCTCGGAACCTCCGCCGCCGCGCTGGGGTTGGTGCTCGCTTCGCCGGAGAGCGCCAGCGCGAACGGCATGCTCGACTTCCCTCCCGCAAGGTCAGTTTGCCGATTGGTTCGGGTAGAAGCAAGGAACAATGCTTGTCGGGGTGTCTAATCCTCCAAAGTGCCCATTTCTCTAAGTGCTCTGCAGCCCCGATTAATCCGCGGTGGTGAGGTCGTGTTCCTCTCAATGACTAGAGTTGGAGGTGGAATAGTTTTTTGTGGTGGTTGCACAATAGTACCTGCAGTAGGCTCGTGCGTCTGTTCATTGGCTGGCTCGTGTGATTTTCTCGTCGTACAGAAGAACGGGGGGCGGTCCATCATCACCAGCTAGAGAGGGGGGTGGTATCCATCATCATTCGCTAGAAGGGGGGGTGGTGTCCATCATCAGCTAGCGAGGGGGGTGCTATCCATCGTCACCAGCTAGAGAGGGGGGGGTGCTATCCATCGTCATCAGCTACAGAGGGAAAAAACAACGTTGAAAAATTCCCCGACTGGTGCTGCTGTTGCTGATTGTTTGAACAGGACGCTTCCGCCACCGCTTTAGATAACAGCAACAGCAGCAGCAGCAGAGGCGACACACCCTCTCGCCCACAATGAGTGTAGAGAGGTGCACAGCACAGCAGT